ACTGCTTTCGCAGGTGCACCAGCAGGGAGCTGGATCACAAGTGGAGCAGCTGGGACTTGAACCGGCACCCATATGGGATGCTGGTGCTGCAAGCCGGGGCCTTAACCCACTGCGCCACAGCACTGGCCCCACAGCTGCTCCCCTTCGGATCCGGCTCCCTGCTGGTGCACCTGGGAAAGCAGTGGAACATGGCACCCCTCCCACCCGTGTGGGAGACCCAGACGGAGTTCCAGGCTCCTGGCTCCAGCCCAGCCCAGCCCTGGCCTTGTCGGCCATTGTGGCCATCTGCAGAGTGAACCAGTGGATGGGAGACTCCTCTCTCTCTCTCTCTCTCTCTCTCTCTCTCTCTTTTTCTCTCTGCCTGTCAAAGAAATACAATAAATCCTTAAAAGAGAGAGAGAGAGAGAGAGAGAGAGAGAGAAAGAAAGAAAGAAAGAAAGAAAGAAAGAAAGAAAGAAAGAAAGAAAGAAAGAAAAGTAGGAAGTGCACACACAGCGCTGTCCCTAACAGGCAAGCCTCCTAGAGAGGGGCCTTTGTCACCCAACAAGGAACCGGGGCAGAGGGAGAGGGACCCCGGGGACCACACAGGCGCCTGGCAAAGGCACGGGGGCGCCTCGGCCCCTCGCAGGACTCGCCGTGTGCTGTGGTTACACCACTAGGACTGGTGCCTATTGTGGGCTCCGCTTCAGGCGGGACGGCGGCTCCCCTGGAAGCCAGGCCCCGCCAGCCGGGGGCACCAGCGTGGAGAGAGAAGCCGGTTCCTGTTCCTGACAGCTGCGTACGCCCGTGCTCATCTTGTGCGCACCGTGCAGGTTTCTTGAACTCTTTTACATAGTGGAGGCTTACTTATATGATCATATATGAAAATAGGTGTTTGTGAAAATTAACAGTGGGAAGGGAGAGGGAGGGGGAGGCAGGGTGGGAGCGAGGGAGGCGGGAGGGGGGTAGGGTAGCAAGTGACACTATGCTCCTGAATCTGTATATATGAAATACATGGCCAGCGCCGCGGCTCACTAGGCTAATCCTCCACCTTGCGGCACCGGCACACCGGGTTCTAGTCCCGGTCGGGACGCCGGATTCTGTCCCGGTTGCCCCTCTTCCTGTCCAGCTCTCTGCTGTGGCCAGGGAGTGCAGTGGAGGATGGCCCAGGTGCTTGGGCCCTGCACCCCATGGGAGACCAGGAGAAGCACCTGGCTCCTGGCTTCGGATCAGGGTGCGCTGGCTACAGAGCGCCAGCTGTGGCGGCCTTTGGAGGGTGAACCAACGGCAAAGGAAGACGTTTCTCTCTGTCTCTCTCTCTCTCACTGTCCACTCTGCCTGTCAAAAAAAAAAAAATACATGAAGCTTGTATAACTTAAATCAAATAAAATCAAAAAGGTAGCCTTGGGGGCCAGCGTTTGGCACAGTGGGGGCGGGGCAGGTGTGTGGCACAGTGCTCCCTGTGGGAGTGCCCGTTGGAGGCTGTGCTGAGTCACGTGCGGGGCCTGGGTGGAGCGGGTGGCTCCTGGCTCTGCCTGTGGGCACTTGGGGAGTGAACCCGCAGATGGCAGATCTCTGCCCGTGTCCGTCTGTGCTTTTTCAGGAGCAGAAACAGCACAGGTCAAGCCGGACAGCTGGGAAGGACCAGCGGCCGCAGGGCCTCCTCCGGCACCCCCCCCCCCCTCCGCGCGAGAGAGGTGGGAGGCCGTGCTTATCACCTGAGACACACACTCGCGTCCGGTCACATCATGGGGTGCCATTGAGACAGGGCGCCCCAAGGGAGGCTTAGCCTGGGTTTCCTCCCCCTCCCCACCCCGTCTCTCTCTTTCCCCCTATCTCCAGAACAGTTTCAGCAGAGGGGGCTCTGTCTCCCGGGACGGGATGAGGAACTGGCCAGCGACTGTGGACAGGCTGCCCGGCTCGGAGAAAGAGCTGGAAAGCCGACACCTTCCAGAGCGGGCCCAGCCCTGCCAGCGCGCTGTGAAAGGCTATTTCTGTCCTCCCTGTGTTCAGACAGAAGCTCGCCAGCCCTGGCCCATAAATGCCCCCTTTGTGCAAGAAGGGCGTTCATCAGCTCGTGAGACGCCCATGGCGCGACCCCGCTGCACGCCGCCCAGGCTCTGCCCAGCAACGGGCCTGCCCGGCTGGGCCCCCTGCCAGCCTAGACGCCATCCGAGCCAGGGACCGGAAATGTGGCATCTGGGGTGCCGCCCCGGAGGGGTCACGTGCACAGGCTGGGCAGGCAGCCGCCCCACGCAGAGACCAGTGGTCACCCACGGGCCTGGCTGTCGGCAGACTTGCCCGAGGTGGAGGGCTGGGGTCTGCACGGGTGGTGGCTCTGCCCCTGGGTGCCCTGAGCAGCCCACGGCCAGCCAGGAGGGCAGGCACAACCTACCTGCCCTTGGGGAGGAACGAGGAGGGACCCAAGGGCTCTTTCCCAGGCAGGCAGGGACCCCCGGGACCTCCACACCCCACTCCTATCAGCCTTGCTCACAAGGACAGAAGCAGAGCTCAGGGCCAGCATAGGGGCGCAGTAGGGTGAGCCACCACCGTGACACCAGGGTCCCCTATCACACCCCTGGTTCCAGTCCCCGAGGCTCCACTTGCAATCAGCTCCCTGTTGATGGCCTGGGAAAGCAGCAGAAGATGGCTCATGTCTTTCGGCCCCTACCATCCACATGGAGACCAGGATGGAGTTCCGGCTTCTGGCTGCGGCCTGGCCCAGCCCTGGCCACTGCGGCCATCTGGAGAGTGAACCAGCAGATGGAAGCTCTCTCTGGCTCTCTTTCTCTGTAACTCTTTCAAACAAACACATACATCCTAAAAAAAAAAAAAAAAAAAAAGGAAAGAGAGGTCAGCCGACAGCATGGGCCCACCCGGCCCCTCCTCCACACCATAACTGGGCTCAGGTTCCACACTCTTAGCACCACGCACTTGGGACCTCGGGGACAAACCGTCCAGGAGCCGGATGGGGCTCAAACCACAGCAGTGTCCCTGGCGACGCATCCTCAGCCCGAGACTGCCCAGCCAGGACACTAGCAGCCTGGTCACGATTGTCCCCGCTGGCACAAAGGCGCCTCGGCGACCCTCGGGGCTGGGACAGGGTCCCCCTTTGGGCCTGTCGCCTTCCAGATGTTTGCAAGGAAGACAACCGCAGCCGCACACTCGCCTCTAGCACACAGCCCGATGGACCCTGCTGTGGCAGTGAGGGCGCCTGACCAGGGCTGGCCCCTGGCCACCCTCCGCCACGCCCAGGGGCTGGTCCACCACGTGGCCCACGTCCTCCCTTGAGTCCAGCAGGGCCGGCCCAGCCAGCACTCGGGGGGGGGGGGGGGTCCCCGGGCCGGCTGCACCGGCACCGCCTGGACTTGGGGAGAAGTGCAGGCCTTGGCCACGTGAGCCGGGGCCTCCAAGGGCTTCCCCTGCCTGTCTGGTGTGAGAACCACAGGCCCAGCCAGACGCAAGGCACAAAAGGCCCCTCCAGCCCGCGGGCCCGCAGTGTCCCCTGGCACGGGGCTAGGGCTGAAGGTCACTGGCTGACCGCTCTCCCCTCCCTGCCACAGGGACTGGAGGGGTCGAGGCCTTGCCACAGGCTCTGAGGGCATCTGCAGGGTCTCCCCTCTGGGAGCAGAGCTGGGGGTGAGCTTCGGGTCTGTGGTGGGCTGTGATTGTCCAGGGGGGCAGCACAGGGCTTCCCCCGGCATCCCCACAGACGTGAGGGCGCAGAGCGGACGCAGGAGACCTTGGGTCAAGTCTTGGCTCTCACAGCCTCAGTTTCCCTGCCTGAGGAATGGGTATCACCACCCCTCAGTGGGATGACTCTCACCAGGCCTGGGCCACCGTGTCCCTCAGCAGTGACTGCCCTTCCCATCTCAGCCTCTAGGGGGTGCTGCCAAGGCCTTGCATTCTTTGGGAAAACCATCCGACACCCCCATCGTGGGAAAGTGGTCCAGGGGTGTCAGACGTGGCGGGGAGGGGCGTCCCTGTACAGACAGGGAAGACCTCAGCAGCACGGGGCCTTTGGGGAGGAGCCAGGGAGGCTTGGAGGAGAGGAGCCTGGCCCTGGGCAGAGCGGGAGGGAGCGGGGGCTGCTGGTGGGGGCTGTGGCCTCCACTGGCCCACGCAGCTCCCAGGGGTCCCGCAGTGACTGTGCACCGAGCACCAGGGCCAGCACCGAGCATCCAGACTCGGCCTCACACGGGGGAGAGGCCCCTCCTCTCAGCCCCAGGGTGGGGCTGCCAGCCGGGCTGTCTCCCGGGACGGGTCAAGGCCAGCAGCAGAGGCCCAGCTCAGCCTGGACGGCTGGAGAGAAGGGGGCAGGTGCTGGCCCCCCTGCGATGTCTCCGTCACCAAGCCACAGGCCACCTGCCCCGTGGACACCTGGCCTCACTCCCGCACTCGCTGGCTGTGGCTTTGTGGCCACAGGCAGCGGTCACTGCTGGGGCCAAGAATAAGGAGGCCGGGCAGCCCTGTCATTAGTGGTTTGCTGAGCTCGGGCTGGGCCGAGGGACACCTGGGCACCGTGCCTGGAGGTCAGACAGGAGGGAGTGGCAGGGCCAGGCTCTGTGCAGAGGCCAACAGTCCTGGGGGCTCTGAAGTGGATTCCCTCCTCCCAGGCTGACCCTCACCAGGACACTGGCCTCGGGTGGGGGCAGGGCACACATGCATGCACGCACACACAGTTGCACATACATACCCACACGGGCACACTCATGCACGCATGTACACATGTGCACGCATGCGCGGTGCCGCCAGGCACCGACCCAGGCACAGAGGGCCCTCGCGGACGGGGCTGCCCTCAGGTGCCAGGAAGGAAGTGGCCCTGCAGAGACCAGGGACGGGACATTCAGGCAGAGAGACAGGGCACACAAGGACCCTGAGGTGGAAAACTGGACGCAGCAAAAAGAAGGGTAGGGGCTGGAGGGGAGAAAGGGGAGGAGGCGGTGAGAAGAGGAGAAGAGAGGAGAGGGGAGGAGAAGGAAGGGGAGGGAGGGGAGGGGAGGAGAGGGGAGGGGAGGGGAGGGAAAGGCGGGGCAGGAGCCAGCCCAACAGCGGAGGTGTGCAGGGTCCAGGTCCAGAGTGAGAGTTTTCATAGATTTAAATCTGGCCAGCGACATCATCGGATTTACTTTTTCAAAATGGGGTTGAGATCAGGGGGAAGTATTGGAAAATACCAAAATTACAAGGCTCAAAACAGGATAGCTTCCCAGCTCCCGCCTTACACCTGAGAAGTTTAGGGGCACAGCCAGTTCTCCCAGGGGTGCAGATTCAGCCTGTGTCAGTCTTCATCTCCATGGGAGGCGCCCATGTCCAGAAAGTCTCCTCATTGCCCAGACTAGCTGCTGCAGCTCCAGCCATTACATCCAGTTTCCATCTAGTAGGAAGGAAGAACTAATAAAAAGGGCATACATCCTCTGCTTAAGGTCCCTTCCCGATGCTGCACACACATCTTTCCATCTTTCATCACCAGACGCAGCCACACGGTACACTTCGCTGCGTGGGAGACTAGGGAATTCAACTCAGAATCTGGGAAGCCGTGGGTGGAGCTAAAAATGATAAGTCTGCGCTGAGGGGGAGGGGAGAACAGATAGCAGGGTGACTACTCTCCCTGCCACTGCGTGGGGGGCGGGGGATCACAGATGCCCACAAAGCAAGCTGGCACCAGCCACAGCCTGGCCAGGTGAGAGATGGACACATAGACCGGTGAAGACAGACCAGAGGGACAGGCTCCGTGGAGGGAGCCCAGACAGTTGTCTGTCTGTCTCGATCCTCTGTCCATGGTGCCCTGCAGCCGGCTGCCCGTGTTCGTGCTAAGGACAGCTGCAGAGCCGCACCCCTGCAGTGGACATCCACCTGCCTCCTGTGGCTCAGTGGTCTCCCAGGGCAGCTCTGCCTCCCTGCGTGGCCGTGTGCGTGTCCCCGTCTCTGCTGGATACCATGAGGCCATCAGGGACCTGCACATCATCCGGTCACCTGGTCACCAACACGCTCGACCAGCCACGCCCTTGCCCCCTGCTCCAGGAGCCCCCACCACGGGGTCCCCGGGCCAGCTGCCTCTCTTCTCCCCCTCCGGAAGTGGGGCAGCCACACTGCCTTCCCCGCTGCCCCGCCTCTGCCCCCTATGCACTGACTGGGCGACAGCTGTGGCCCCTGGAATTGCCTGCTGGAAACACAGACCCCGGGCACTGCTGTCACCAGGAGACGGCTCTTAAGCTGAGCCACGCCTGGCCCTGGCTGGGCCACCCGCTCCCAGGAAGGTGCTGCCGCCCCAGGCCACCCTGGTGGCGGGCATGTGCCGGCAGCTGTGGCCTGGCAGAGCCCAGAGCTGTGCCTGCAAGCCGGCTGCCTCTCGCGGCTGGGCCACCTGGGGCGTGTGCCGCCTTGCCAGCCTCGCTCTCCCCTTCCGTGCCACGGCAGGCCCCCCTGCTGGGCACGGCCGCTTCCCAAGGCTCCCCATCATGGGAGCACGGAAGGCTTTCACCGCCGCTCTCCCAGGGCCAAGGCACCCTCTGTGTCCTCGCAGTCACGTGGGTGTCCCTGGGGCAGCAAGGGTGGGGGAGGGGCCGGTCTCAGGGGCCCACCCTCGGAGCCGACAGAAGGCTATGCTGCCTGCAGAGGCCTTGTCCAGGGGCGGGTCTGGGTGAGACCCTGGGGGACGCATGGACTCCTCAGTGCCTGTGGTCTCTGGGCCACCAGGGCCAGATGCACCCAGACCTCAGTCCTGAGCCTGCTGCGGCCTCTCCCCCAGTCCACTCGGGGCCCATGCACACCCTCTGCCCCGTGTCCCCACTTTATAGACAAGGAAGCTCAATCCCACCACACAGCTCAGAAGACGGGTGTGGACTCCATACAACGCCAGCCCCAGAGGAATCAGTGAGGGCCCTTTAATGGGGAGAGGTGTGTACAGAGCTTTCCTGGGGCCACAGAAGCAGCCTGGAGACCCAGGCGCACACAGACACCAGGTGCATGTCTGTGCATGTGCGTCTGTCTGCACGCACGCCAAGCCTCAGCATCGCTCCTGGGGACACCTCCCCCAGTCATGTCCACGCCGACCCTCGGCGCATCTGACCGTAGGGAACCTGGAAGCAGGTGCAAAGCAGGACCCTGTGGGCACTGTCCCTTTAAGACTTGTCCTGAACCGGATCCAGCAGAGGGCATTGTGTAGAGAGCCCGGAGGTCTCTCTCTCTAGGGAACCACCCATTCATAGGCAAAGGAGGATGACACAGCAGGCCTGGGAAGTCCCTCTCGCACCCTGGGGGGCAGCCCGGGCCCAGCTCCCACGTCACACAGCCGTCACACAGCCGCAGCAGCCGGCGGGGAGGGGAGAGGTGCTGCCCCAGCCCCCGCAGGCGGCTGGCACAGCGCGGTTTGCATCCCAAGGCCGATTTCACCATGTTGGGCAACCCCTTCTCCCCCTCCTCCTCATGGAAGCAGAGGAGAATGGGCCACACAGCAGCAGCAGGGACTGTGGCGAGGCGGGGACTTGCGTCCATGGCCCTCCCACCCAGTGCCCACGCTGCCCCCCAGGGAGGACATTCGTGTGGGCGGTGCCGACACTTACAGCTCTGGATTTCCCGCTGCCCATGGACAAGCAGAGGGACCCTGGTCGGCTGAGAGCAGTAACCACCACTATCCACACACCTGAGACACCCCTCCCAGCCAGGGCCAGGGCGGGGCCAGCCTCTCCCACCCTCAGTTCCCCCGGGTCGGGGGTTGGGGGTCTTGGCTGAGCTGCCCTGCCTTGCCTCTCACCCCCATGGAGGCTACCAGGGCAGCCCGCACACTCAGCCCCCAGATGGGTACAAGGCTGAAGAACGAGCAGCTGGGGGAAACAGAGGCCAAGCAACCAGCCCCAAGCACAGAAGGGGCCCAGACCATGGGTCAGCAAGAAGAGCCCTGTTTTCTGATAAATCCCTCAGAGTGACCTGAAAAAAAATTTTTTTTTTTTTTTGGAAAGCAGAGTTACAGAGAAAGAAGGAGAGAGAGAGAGACAGAGAGAGAAACGCATCTTCCATCCGCTGGTTCACTCCCCAAATGGCCACAACAGCTAGAGCTATGCCAACCTGAAGCCAGGAGCCTGGAGCTTCTTCCAGGTCTCCCACGTGGGTGCAGGAGCCCAAATGCTTGGGCCATCTTCTACTGTTTTTCCAGGCATATTAGCAGGGAGCCGGATCAGAAGTGGAGCAGCTGGGACTCGAACCGGCACTCATATGGGGGCTACAGGTGGTGGCTTTACCCGACATGCCATAGTGCCGGTCCTGTGACCTGCATTTTCTGGGCCTTGGGTTTTTCTTACAAATCTAGCCCCCTCCCCAGCAGGGATGAGGTATGGGGGACACAGCCAGCCCACCTGGATGAGGTCAACCCCACCTGAGGGAACCTCCACCAATGAGGATCAGGGAGACAGGTGCAATGCTTCCCCAGTTCTGACTGTGGCTTCCCTCCGGGCCTCTGCCTGTGTGCCTCAGTTTCCCCCACTCAGTGGTCTTACAGGGCTGGCCGATGTGCCCGTCGCTGGTCCCCATGGTGCCTGTGGTGGTGACCCAGGCGTCACGCTTGATCTGTCCGCACTGCCGTTTGTAGATCAGGCTCCCAAGGCCTTGACCAAACCCCGGCTCTGTGCCGAGGGCACAGACAGGGAGCTTAAGCCATCTGCTTGAGTCCACGTAGCTACAGGGCGGCAATTCTGGAAGGCACAGTCCTGGAGGCCTGGCCCCCACCTGGCCTCCCAGTGGAGGCAGGAACAGGATGGGGGGGGGGGAGAGAATGCACAAGTCAGGGGCATGCAGAGGAGCGTCTGGGTGACTCCAGGGCCCAGAAGGGAAGGGCACGGCGTGCAGCCTTTACTCCAAGCTCTTGCAACCCCCCCCCCCCCCCGGGAAGACAGCGTTCCCTGCCCTCCGCATCCCACCTGGCTTCCCACAGTGCAACAGGCCCCAGGGACATCCGGGGCAACAAGGGCCCATTGAGCCCAGGGCTGGACGAGCCGATTTGCTTTACCCCCACCCGCAAGGCGTCATGCCCAGGGGCTGGCACCAAGGGCAGCCCAGCCCTGCTGCTGCTCCACAGATAGGGAGCAGGAAAACCAAGGTTCAGAAGGCGGGAAGCCAGCACACAAGTGGCCCAGGCACAGGGTGCCCAAATGGACCTGACCCTCGCCTGGGCGCGGTGGACAGGCCTGTGCCTCCCCCCCCTCCGGGCGAGCCCCCACCAGGGTAAAACTCAGTAAGGGCACAGCCCCGCCAGGCAGTCCCTGGCGCCCCCTTGTAGATCTACAGTGTCGGCGGAGGGGCCTCAGAGGGGTCTGCCTTGCTCACCACCGCGCAGCCAGGATCCGGAGGGCCCCGCCGTCCTCGCCCCGGCCTGGGGGGCGTCCTGGCCACGCACCCCCTCCAAGCACCAGGCCTCCAGGCCCCGGCCCGCCCCGGCGGAGGCGGAGGCGGAGTCTGGGGGCGGGCCGGGGCGGACCGGGGCGGGCCTCGGGGCGGGCCGGGCGCGCAGCCGGGACCCAAGGCGGAGGCGCGGACGCGCTCAGGCCGGAACAGGCGGCCCAGCGGCCGCATCATGGACTCGGGCCCCGAGGAGTATGAGCTCAACGGCGACCCGCGACCTGGCTCGCCCGACGCCTCGGTAAGACCCCCGCGGCGTCGAGACCCTCCCCGCCCCCCCCGCCAGCCTTACGGGCACCTGTGCGAGCCTCATCCCGAGTGCGGGTGGGGGCGCTGCGCCGAGTTCCGCGCGCCCCGTCGGGGACCAGCGGGGCTCGGGCACTGGCCGCGGGGCGAGTGAGGGGCGCGGGGTTCCCCAGCTCTGCGGCGCGCTGCCCTAGCTGCCCGCCTCCCGCGCCGACTCCAGCCGCCGTCTCCTGCGCGCCCGCGGTGGGCAGAACGGAGCCACAGCGTGTGGCTGCAGGCCAGCGGCGGACAGACGGCGACGTCACCCAGTGACCGCACGGTCCGGGCCGCCTCGTGGGGAACTGGGGCTCCGCGGCGCTCGGCGTCTGCCTGCGAGAAACAACCTTCACACCTCCGGGCTGTCCACCCACAGGCCCGGTGGGGCCTGTCCTGAGCCTGCCCTGGCTGGCCTCCGGGTGCTGGGGGCTCTTGCAGGCCTGGCAGTGGCCCCTGCCCCCCTATGTTGGAATTGGGGCACCTCCTCTTGTCTCCTACGGTTCTGAGCCCGGAGTCTCCATCCCAGGACCTAGCTGTTCTGAGGGCCTGGCATGGCCCTCTGGCTGTTGACTTTGGACATTCTTTCCTTTTCCCACCCAGGGGTGGGGGTGGGGACTGGCAGCCCTCCGGGATTTTCCTGGCGGCCTAGGTTCTATGGGCGAGACTGTCCAGGTGTTGGCCTGAGGGCCTCCTCTATCGAGGTGGAGACAGGCCACATCCGGTGGAAGAACCTCCAGAGTCAGAGGCCCGGTGGCCCTGGGTTTTTGCACAGACGCCTGTCACCTGGTTAGACACGAGGACAAGCCATTGCCTGGAGAGACTCAGCCAAGCATGGGAGACCCAGGGACCCGGCTCTGCCTGTTGCGTGAGCACTTTGGAGCAGGGGGCACCCCGGCTGTGCGTGCTCAGGGAGGTCGCTTCACCTTTCTGAGCCTTCTTAAATAGAGACAAGAAATGACCCCAGGGCAATGGGGCAGGCAGATCAGGTACTAAGTGGGCAGGTGCCTTGGATCTGGTTTGAAAGGAGGGTGCCAGCCCCACCTTTGACCTTGCCCAGCTGTGCCCTGTACTCAGCACCGTCTCTGCTCACCTGGGCAGGCAGCAGGGTGGGTTGTGTTTCCAGGGTCTGGGCACATCTCGGGCCAGGGGAGATGGGGGGGTGTCACTGTCTTGGCTTGGGGACCAGAGGAGGGGTGATGCAGCCCTGTCCTCCCCACCTGCAACCAAGCTGCTTTCAGAGGGCAGCCCCAGACCAGGTAGAGGAGCAAAGACAAAAGTGTTGGATCTCCAAGGGGCTGCTGCGGGGGTCCGTGGAAGGGCATCTGAGCAGAGGGAACAGTAGGAGCAAAGGCCCTGAGGCAGCCTGCGGACCCACATGGCGTGGGTTGGGAGAGATGGGAGAGGCCATGCAGGCCCCAACACTGGGGACAGGAGCCGGCCTGAGGCACACATCCCCCCCGGGGGGGAGTCTCTGGTCCCAGGCAGAGGCTTCCCTGGGAGGCTGCCAGTCTCTGAGGCCACTCTGCCTCCCCCACCTGCTCTGTGCCCTCCGTCCCCTTCCTACCTGAGTGCCCTGCCTCGTTCCCTGGGCACGTCCAGCCGGCACTGTGTGCCTCAGTTTCTCCCCCGGGGAAATGGGATTGTTAGCAGCGCTTCCCCGCAGAGGGTCACCGTGAGGGCTGACGGCAGTGGGACAGAGTGCTCGGAGCAAGGCCGGGCAGGTGACAGTGACGTCATTGTAACTGACCGGCTGCACGGAGACCGTCTCCCCTGGTAACACCAGCAGAGGTTCAGAAAGGGCCCGGAGCGGGGGCTCCGCTTCCTGTTCTGCAAGACGAGGCCCCGTGCTCACCTGGCCGAGGCCCAGGAAGATGCGCCTCCTCAGCCGCGGGACCCAGCTGAGCCCTGTCAGCTGGAAGCAGCAGGAAGCCCCCACCCCCACAACACCTGCCCCGTGCCTGCTGCCGGGCCCAGGGATTGAGCCAGTGTGTGCCCGGCAGCACCGCAGTGGTAAACATCAATTTTGCTTGGAAATGGTCCACGGCGGGGTCATGCTCGGGGCATCTCCAGGCACTGGGAACAGTTATATGTGGGGCCGTACAGCGGAAGCTACCCAGCACGGGCTGGGGACACAGCCCTCTGGCGCCGCTCTGCTCCCCCACCCCTAACAGCCCCCTGGGACGAGGGTCCTGGGGAGGAGAGAGTGCCGCCCTGTGCACTGGCCGGCTGGCCGTGCGGGCCCGCGGCTGCCAGGAGTTTTCCTGTTTTCCTCACTTCTGCTTTCCTGGCACGGCCCGCAGCTGGTGGGGTCTTGGCCAAGTTCTAAAGTTGACCTTGCCATGGACTTGAGGTCCCTCCCGACCAGTGCTGAGCCCGTCGGAAGTGGGTCTGCCCAGCCCAGCCCTGCCCAGCTGCTGTGGGGAGCTGCCCCCTCCCGTGCTTCCTGCTGTCTGGCTGGGGCTTCCTGCCAGGCACACAGTCCCGGGAGCCGGGAGGTGCTTGGGGGCTGCCTTCAGGTGGCTGGGAAGGAGGGGAGGTAGTGACGGCACGGGACTCAGAGGGGTGGGCCCCAAAGCCCCCCACCCCGGCCCAGCTGCGTGTGACCCCCAACAGGTGGCTTCAGCGGAGTCGAGTCTGAGGCTGGGCTCATGCCCCCATGTGTGTGGGTCAGACAAGGGACGCCCGGGCCCTGGGCAGATCCTGGCCCAGGGGGTAGCTGAGGGGCTCAGTCCTTAGTCCCCCAGCACCTGGGAGACGCTGAGGGCCAGGGCCCCTGAGCAGGCTGTGCTGGAATCAGAGGCCACAGCACCAGTGGCTTATGGCCGAACTGGGTTCCACAGGCCTGGCTCAGACCCTCTCCTGTCCCTGTGCCCCTCCCACCTGAACTGGGGGTGCTCAGCAGGTGGCCCTGGGACACATGACCGCTGAAACGGACCGTCCATGGTAGCAGGGACCGTGGGCCCTGCCGACTCCCCACCAAGGCTCCTCGGCATCCAGAGGAAAGACCCAGCCCGCCGCACTCCTGGCTGTTACTCAAGTTCGGGAGAAGTCCTGCTGGCCCTGGTGAACATTAACCAGGGTCCGCGCTCCCTGCAGCACCCGGGCCACGGGACAGGTCTTGGCCAGGCTCTCTTCCCGGCAGTGGGTCAGGCCCATGGGGCTCCCTGACCTGTGCAGACAGGGCCCCTGGCCACACTCCCTGGGGCTTACCTGTGCAGAGGTCACCTTCGGGCTCCGAGGCCCAGAGTACCCCAGGAGGCCTGGAGTGCAGCCCCCTCCCTGCCTGCATGGGTCTCACGATCCGTACCGTCCTGGGGCAGCCCTGGGGTTTAGGGCACACAGCCCTGGGCTCGATTTCTGGCCTGCTCCTTCCTCAAGGTCCCCTAGGTTGGTACCCTCTGAGGCCTGTGGGATGGGAGAGTGACACACTCCGACACTCGACGGATGGGTGGATCTTCCACAGGGGGTCCTCGATGTGCAGATGGGGGGACTGGGGTAGCAGAGGGGCCCTGCTGTCAGGGCCAAGGCCAGGCTGTGGGGAGCTGGGGCTGATCCCATGCAGAGGCCTGCAGCCCGGCTGTCCTCCTTATCGTGGTGCAGGTCGAACAGGAAGCAGATGGCCAAAGGACTGGAAGCACCCTCACCTTGAGGGGCCCTGGGGCCCTGGGGCTCTGAGCCACCCGGGTGCCCGCCTCCCACCCCAACCAGTGGCACACGTGGGAGACTGAGGCCACTCTGCTGGAGCCGGAGCGGGGACTCTGAGATCTCAGGCCCCTCTCCTGGCTCACCTCCACTGACCCTTGTGGAGGGGTATCACTCACAGGACCCCGAAACCCCAGGGCCCTGGTTCAAATCCCGGCACAGCCCTCCCTTGCTGTGTGGCTCTGAATTAGGTACCCCCCACACTGAACCCCACCTGGCATGAGGACAGCAGGCTCTGTGGCTGGGGGAGCTGAGAGCTGGGGCTTGCTGCTGACGTGCGCATTCACGCGTCTGAGCGCTCCCGGAGACCAGGAGCACGAGGTTGCCCGAGATCCCATGACTGTAAGGTCCTTAAGTGGCTCAGAGAGCCTAGAAGAAAAAGCAATTTTCCCTCTTGCCAGAGGGCACCACAGTTAGCCTGGGCACATGTGTGTTTATGTGAACGTCACGGGTGCCTGCGTCATGTGTATATGTATGTGGTGTGTGTGATTGTGCATCTATATGTGACTGCACGTGTGCACACGAGAGTGTGTAGTGTATGCACATATGTATACGCAGCATGGTGTGCATATTTACATGCGAATAAATCTTATATGTGTTTCTGGGTTTGCACATACATGTGACTGCATATGCACATGTATGTGTGCTGCAAGTGCACATAGGTGTGTGCATGTGCACTGAATTTGTGCATGCCTGTGTTTGTGTACACTTGTGTGCTATGTCTGTGTGTGTACCTTGCATGTCTGGGACATGTATGCACGTGTGTATTCTATGTGTATGTGTGTTCTGTGGTACACGTGTACGAGGATGTGGCTGGGCACAAGTGTTTGCATGCGTGTACCCGTATGTGTGCATATGTGTCTATGAGCCCATGTGTAGACATGTACGTGCCTCCTCAGAGGGTGGGAGCTCCTCAGAGGGCCTGCGCCTGTCTGTTTTCCCTTACTGTTAGGCTGGGGTCTGGGTGGGCCTTAGGGTGCCTTCGAGGAAGGGCGCTTTGTTCTGATTTGTGCAAGTAGGAGCATGTGCCCACTGCAGCCCAGCAGCCCCGGACGCCCAGGGCTCAGCATGCCGAGACACCGCCAGCCAGGGGCTCGGTGGGCACACAGCAGGGGCTGTCCTGGGGCCGGGGCACAGGCTCCTAGGGGGGACGGAGCCTGGTGTTGTCAGCTCCCGCAGCTGACACTGGAGGCCGGCTGTGGCAGTGTCCGGCCTGGGTGCAGGCGGCAGAGCCCACCGCCCTTCCTCCTGGGCCGTGACTTCACATGAACCTGAAGCTTCAAACCGTGCGCATTACAGCCAAGCCCCTGCCTCTGCCCCTGTCCCAGCCGCCCCTGGTGTTTTCCTTGTGAGTATTTGTGGCCTGAGCGAGTCTGCCCCTCCCTGCATCTTTCATGAGTCCGGAAACAAGAGCCCCTGGAGCAGCCCCAAGAGGCCGGCTGTGCCCTGGGCCCCAGACACTGGCTGCAATGCGACCAGCGAGCGTCCCAGGTGGCTTCGGTTCAGGGCCTGCCACCTGGGCATCTATGCACGGGGGGCCAGGATGAGGGGGCAGTGATTTGTCCTGGGTGACTGGGGAGGGGCACGATGGTGCAGCTTGAGGGGGGCCGAGTGGCTTGCTCACGAGAGAAGCTGGGTGCTTGGAGTCGCCTTGCCACGAACAGGGCAGGAGACAGCTGTGTCCTGTCAGGGGAGTCTTCGGAGGCTCCCTGGAGGCAGTGGTGGGCAGCAGGGCTTCGGAGCGTGAGGGTATCTGGGGCAGGGGGACTGGCAAGGCCCCTCCTGGCCGGCTGGGCCTGTGAGCTGGGAGGTGATGTGGAAACTGGCCTGCAGCGCTGGGCAGAGGCTGGGACCGGCCCCAGGGGCAGGCGCCAGCTTGGGGCCGAGAGAAGAAATTGGTACTTGTGTGCCTGTGTTACTTCTCTGAAGATGGAGGAGCTAAGCCCAGCTGTGCAGTCCGCCCAGGCCTCCTCTGAGCATCTGCCAGGTGGTGGGGGGCACAGCAAGGTGCCCAGGGGCCCACCGAGGCTCTGGGGGCTGCTGGCCCAACAGCCTGAGGACAGGAAGTAGCTGGGGTGGGGCAGCCGGGAAGAGCTGGTTTTGAGCACAGGCCAGTGTTAGGAGGGATCCGGCACTTCCCCTCCAGCCGCTGCCCAGGAGCCCAGGTCCTGAGGCGGGGGAGGCCCTCCCCCGCAACAGGAAGGCAGCCCCCCCCCCACTGCCCAGTGGAAACCCGGAGCACATGCCCTGATCCTGCTGTTTGCGTCTCCTGTATCTCCAGGACATCATTCTGGGGATGTCTATAGAGCCAGCACCTTCTCTCCTTACAGCAGTGAGCACTTAACCCGGGTGGGGGCACAGGGAGCCCTCCCTGCCCCGCCCACTGACCGCCCCCATCCCCGTCCCTGTCCCCGCAGCCGCCCCGCTGGGGCTGGAGGCACCGGCCCATCAACGTGAACCACTACGCCAACAAGAAGAGCGCGGCCGAGAGCATGCTGGACATCGCGCTGCTGATGGCCAACGCGTCGCAGCTGAAGGCCGTGGTGGAGCAGGGCCCCAGCTTCGCCTTCTTCGTGCCCCTGGTGGTCCTCATCTCCATCTCGCTGGCGCTGCAGATTGGCGTGGGGGTGCTGCTCATCTTCCTCGGTAGGCCCGGGGCGGTGCCACGCCGCTCCCCTCCCCCCACCCCCCACCTTGCAAAAGCCCAGTGCCGTTTCGCGGTCCTCAGACTTGGGGGGCTTTGGTTACCGGGCCCTCCCTGCTCCCTGCACAGACCTTGGCTAGAGCTGCCAGCCGTCCTACAGTGAAAGAGTGGCCGAGTCACCCAGGAGGGGAGTGAGGGACCCTGGCCCCCAGCCCTCTCCTGGTGGCCTGCTCTGCTGAATGCAGATGCCAAGTGTGGCTGCAGCCCCCAACGCTCCTCTCCCCCAGACTACGTAACTGACATCCCCTTGACTTCAGACAGTGGGAAGGGGGCGGGCCTAGCCTGGTCTCCCCAGGGCCTGCCTGTCTGCCACCAGAGCCCCAGGGCCCCCTGGCTCTGTTCCGGCTGTGAAGTGGGCGTGAGCAGGAATGCGGGCAGCCAGGGGGCCACAGCTCTGCCGAGCCTGGCACCAAGCAGCGTCCCATCTGCACCGAGGCCTCAGGTCCCTGTGGAGCTACAGAAGATGGGGGGGGAGGGCGGGATGCAGCCTGGGCCACCCCAGCCAGCGTCCCTGTTGCCAGGGTTTTAGCAAAACAGATGTGATTTTCTCTGGGGGACCAAACTCGCTGGGCACAGCCTGGGCTGGGTGGGCGCCAGCTTCGGGGCCTGGGCTGTCTCGGCACCACCAACCGCTCTCTTGCCCACAGTCAAGTACGACCTGAACAACCCGGCCAAGCACGCCAAACTGGACTTCCTCAACAACCTGGCCACGGGCCTGGTGTTCGTCATCGTGGTGGTCAACATCTTCATCACAGCCTTCGGGGTCCAGAAGCCCATGGCGGACGCGGCGCCGCAGCAGTAGGGGAGCCGGCAGGGCCAGGTGAGCCGGCAGGGCCGTGGGGGTCGGGGTGGGGGTGGGCGGCTTCTCGGGTGGGTCGCTAGCTGCTGGCTTCGGGGGCCTTCCTGGGCTGGGGACCCTCGTCGGCATCCACGTGGCCTGTCTGGCCGCCTGTGGTCTGGTGGGCTCCGTGGTTAGACAGACTGCTTGGGAAATGGGGGGCTCTCCTCCCTCCTCAGCCCCCTCAGAAGGACGGCTACAGGGTGGCCCCTCAGGCAGAGCCCCCGAGACGCCCCGGGACCTCACAGGGTCTGTGTTGCTTCCTGCTCTGGGGGACAGACTCAGGCTGAACCCCTCCTCAAACGCAGGCGGAGGGCCCTTTGTAGGAGGCACGTCCCACGCCATGTTCAGCCCCGCCTTCTGCCCTTGCTCCGAGAGGGCAAGCACCTGCCCGGGGACCCTCAGCCTGGCACAGGAGCCAAAGGGAGGACTGGGTGACTCGGGGCACAGCCAGGCTGTCCACACCACAGCCCACACTGCCTCCTTGGGCGTGCCTTGTCAGCGTGCCTGACAGGTGGCGCCCACAGCAGGACGCGCAGGGACAGTGTGTGCTCAAGGAGGGCGCCTGTGTGTGGGAGGATGGAGAGCTGACCTTCCAAGGTGGCCCTCGTGGACACTGGGAGCCAAGCCTGCAGCTGCACAGCTGCCTGGGGAGTGTCTGGCCTCCTCCCAGGCACCCAGGCCGTGGCCGTGGCCAGCCCCCGGACACCCTGGCTGTGAGCCCTGAGGGGCGGGCCCTGGGCAGCCCCACATGGCATCTGTGTGTTGGAGTTGCTCCCTGCAGAAGCCTGGGGGCCAGCCCACTCCCTCCTTCGCAGCGCCCTGCATGCCGTCCTAAGTTTCCCCAAGCATAGTCTGCCCACCGGGAAGAGGGCACACTGCCTGTGTCCTCTCAGCTTCTGCCCTCCTCAGGGACCCCACGATGCCCATGGGCTGTCCTCAGGGACCCCGAGTCCGGGGCTGCTCCATGTCTTGCTGATGGAAGCAGCTGGGGCAGGCACTTGGGCTTGGTGGGTGGCCGTGGTCGCAGCTGCGGGGCCTCAGCCCTCTGCACCGGGCCAGGCCTTCCAATCCTGGCAGTGACCCAGGAACGCTATATTCATTCAATTTTTAGAGGGGAAACTGAGGCTGGGAGGGCTGAGAAGCCTTGCACAGGTCAGACTGTGTGACTCACAGTGTGACACGGGCCCTTGCTCTAGATACTGAGTGTCCACACAGCCCAGTGCTGTGGGCTGCTCACCAGGAACCCCTCACGCTCTGCCGTCCACCTTTTAGAAGCCTGCATCGCACCTGCCCTGCAGCCTACTCGCCTGACCCCGGGAGCCGCTGCGTCCTGTGGCATCACCTGCTGCGCGTGGCACTCTCCGGAGCCTCCAGAGCCCAGGCCGGCCTCTGCTGGACCAGGCCCAGCGGCCAGCCACCGCGCCGACTGCCGCACAGGGGGCCGCTGTGTTGTGTGTGTGGGCCGGTGGCAGGCCCAGAAGGTTGGAACTGGACAGCCCAGCGTCCTGTGCCCGGAGAAGGGTCATGGCTCCCTGGGGACAAGCTGCAGGTCCATGGATGGGCCAGACCAAGGGCCCCGGCCGGCCTCCGTCTCAGGACATTCCTGAGGGACAAGGAGTCGTCTCACCTCCCGCCCATGCACCAGCACCCCCATCTCCCAGTCTCCCTGCTGACCTCAGTGCCTGGGCTTGGCGACCATCGAGAGGGAGCCGTGCCCACATGGGCAACTGGCCCTGCCCCGCAGTGACCGGCAGAGCCTCTGCCCCCTCCTCGGGAGCCCAAGCCCCGCATTTTCTAATCAGGAATGACTAATAAAGCCCTGATCCTCTGTGCTGGCCTCCACGTGCTGCCCGCCCCCCGCTGTGGGCAGCTCCCTGCGCGGCTCAGAGGCTGGGATTGGGGAGCACTTTCGTTCTGGCACCTCCCAGGGTCGGGGATGGAGGCATAGGGGCGGGAGGCTGAGTCCAAGGGCTTCTATAACTTGCAGTTATTGTCGGATACACAGAGACTCCCTTACTCACCCAATAGCGCCCTGCTGGGGGATTCCTGGCCACCTCCCCGGCACCCGTGAGAGGGGCAAGTTCCACTCGGCCACGGGGTCAGAACTGGGAAGGCCTGCAGGGCACAGAGGCGGGAGCACGGAGGCTCCTTGCTGGCCTGACTCGAGCTGGCAGCTCAGCCCAGGTCTGCAAGACGGAGACCCTGCAGGGCTCACTACCCTGACCCGGGGCCTGCTGTGCCCCTTAGAGTGAAATAAGATCAAACAGAGCCCAGCCTGGACCCCCGCCCCTGCCAGCTGGCCGTCTGAGCACACAGCAGGCGCTTGCTCTGCTCCGGCCCCTGCAGCACCCATGAGGCAGTTCCAGGACACCTGGCCCAGGGACCTGCAGGGCAGCTAGGAGACTGAGGACTTAGGACCCCAGCTGTCCTCTCCTGGGGCCTCTCCACCCAGGAGTCAGGGAGGGGCAGCCACATCTGAATCCCCAAATGCCTCCCCTAGGCCCTGCAGCTCCTGGCCTGCACGGGAGCCACACATGAAGCCACGCCCTGTCCACCCCTCATGAAGTCCCTGCGCTCGGCGTTCGTTCTTTGATGTCTGTGTCATCGTATCGGGGTCCTGGTCCCCCTCGCCCCTCGGTACTGAGTCTGATGCTTCCCCTGCAGTGTGATCTGGCGCTGGGCGTGGTCAGCAGGGGTGCTGTCCACGGGAGGAGGGCAGCTAAGGGCCAGTCTTGGGGCTACCTGCTCTGATCCCTGACCCAGGGGAAGCTCAGCTCCCCGGCCCCAGCCTTTAAGCCCTCATCTCCTCCCTCTCCCCAACCCTTCCCTAGAGAAGGGGCTACAGCAGCCGTCCTGGTCTGCCCCCCACCCCTCCCAGCCCATCCCTGCATCTCCCCACACGCCTGTCCCCTCGTGGCCTGGGGCGGCGCTTCCCATCTGTGTTGTCTGTCCTGCTGCGGGTGCCTCCACCTGGCCCCCTGCAGGTGAGATACCTGGGCATCTCCCACCAGCCTTTCTCCCTCCAGAGGAAAGCCTTCCAGAGCCCCTGCAGCCCCCACTTCCCCGCCCTCTCCCCCTGGCTTTGCTTTAAAGTAAAGGGAGAGGTGGGCATTCGGCTCAGTGGTTGCGACACTGCTTGGGATGCCGCGTCCCACGTTGGAGTGCCTGTGTTCAAGTCCTGGCTGCAGCTTCCTGCTAATGTACACCCAGTGAGGCAGCAGCTGATGGCTCAAGTACTTGAGTCCCTGGGGCCAGACTGAATTCCGGGCTGCTGGCTTCAGCCTGGCCCAGCCCCAGCTCTCTCGCAGGCCTCTGGGAAGTGAACCAGCAGTTGGAAGCATGTTCCCTCTCTGCCCTGCACCCCCCTCCCACACACCTTTAAAAATAAATAAATAAAATACCCCGGGGGGGGGGGTGGAGTAGGAGAAGCCAGACTGGCAAACATTGGTGATGGGAGTGGGGTGCTTGTGCACTGTTCACACCGTCCTTGTGTCTGTCCCATCATGAGAGCTTTTGGAAATAGCCAGTATGCGGAACAAGTCCACCCTGTGCTGAGCTGCAGAGCACGTGGGCAGATGTGCTACAGGCTGTGAAGGCAGGAGCCCCGGTGCCTCCAGACCCTGGGCAGGGTGGTCCAGGTGCACCCTGCCCAGCGCGGGCACCCTGGGGTGGCTCCACTGTGGGCTGGCTGGCAGCCCTCGGGAGCCTGGTCTCTGGCCAGCACCCAAATGTTGGCCAATACATGGCTTAGTTCCTCCTCTGCCAGGAGAGGAAGTTCACCCGGATGGGCTGGAGGGGGAGCCCCGATGTGGGGGGCCACTGAGACCAGGCTGGACTCCGAGGGCAGGGGCACTAAGGACAGGGCACAGTTCCCCCCACACATCCGGGGCCTCACGGTCAGGACTGGTATTTACCGAGGCACCCTGATGCCTGAGGGTGGGGTGACAGCCCATTGCCAGGGGGGTGTGCCTTAGCTCCCATGGCCCTGGCCCCCACCCCAGCCCCCACCCCAGCTGTTACTGCCTCCTGCTCTAACGTGCTGTTGCGCGAGGGGAGCCTCCTCCCAGCCTTCACCGGGCACTGGGGCTCAGCCTGAGGTCGCTCCTGGGGCCTTCCCAACCACTGCCCGCGGCTGCCCCTCCTGCTCACTGCTCTGGCCACTGTTTGTATTTGTGCCACCCTTGGTGTCTTTTTTAGAGTCACCGTCCACATTCTGGTAGAGGCCAGTGTGACCGGTACGACCTGGCATGGTGTCCGAGCCTGGCCCGTGGCAGGGATGGCACCTTGCCAATGAGTCCTCCCGTCTGGGGCTTCTGGAGCCTGGGGTAGCCAGCTCCGTCCATGGTGGTCTTCTACTGAAGGCCCTGGTCTGGCACCCCATATCATGGTGCCACCCCCACTGCCTGTGTCCCCAGCACTGTGGCAATAAACTAGGTGTTTGGTGAACATCTGGGCCAAACCCACTCCCTCATCCACATGTGCTGGTGCCATGCACCCACCACAAACACCAAGGGATGGACAGAAAACCTAGGCCCAGGAGCTAGTTAGGGTGGAGAGAACAGAGCAGGTGTGACCCTCTTCATGGGGTCCAGGACCCTAACATGTCCTCTCTGGCCTGACTTTCCCCCAGGCCCCTCTGTGTGGCCTGCTCTGGCCCCAGGAACCTGGATCTGTTCACCAGGGGAGCCATGGTGGGGGCACCTGGAGCATAAGTGAGGGGCCCAGCCAACAAGGAAGGAAGAGGACCCGCCAGGTGGAGGAGGCGGCATCAGATTACGGGGAAGCCAGCAGGTGACACTGGATCGGGGAGAATGTTCCCAGTTCTGGAACAGTCTGAGACAAACCCTGAGGCTGGCCGGAGCAGGACCGGTGCTGCAGAAAGAACGGGCTGGGGGAGGAGCCAGCTGGGGCGGGGCAGGTGGGCTGGTCACATAGAAGGGGGGGTGACCACGGGGCTGGCTGAGATGGAAGGTGGTGAGATGGAAGGTGGTTTTCTTTTTTTTTTTTTAAGATTTTTATTTATTTATTTGACAGGTAGAGTCACAGACAATGTGAGAGAGAGAGAGAGAGAGAGAGAGAGAGAGAGAGAAAGTCTTCCTTCTGTTGGTTCACCCCCCAAATGGCCGCCACAGCCGGATCTATGCCAATCCGAAGCCAGGAGCCAGGTGCTTCCTCCTGGTCTCCTGTGCGGGTGCAGGGCCCAAGCACTTGGGCCATCCTCCACTGCCCTCCTGGGCCACAGCAGAGAGCTGGACTGGAAGAGGGGCAACCGGGACTAGAACCGGCACCGCAGGCAGAGGATTAACCTAGTGAGCCATGGTGCCAACCCCAGGTGGTTTTCTTAACCTTTTTATTGTAACGATAGAGAGGCGATGGATGATAGAGGAGGTGATGGCGATAGATACGAGAGAGAGATAAATGATAGCTGTGACAGATGATGATAGATAATGATGGTGATAGATACAGGAGAGAGAGAATGATAGAGGACAAATGGATAGACGCTTGACTGAACAGAGGTGGGTGGATGGATGGATGCAGAGCATAATGGCTTATTCCAAGTTGTTCCTGGGGAAATGTCCCCTGATGAGGAAGCAGCTATCACCCCAAGGCCCAATCCCAGCGCTTCACTCCCTCCCAGGAACCCTTGCTGGGGTCTCCATCACGCAGGTGCCCTGCGTGGACACGGCACTCACCCCTAGCAGGCTGCACACAGCAGTGTGGGTTGGGGGATCTGCAGGCTCCCTCCCACGTGGCTCAGTCTCCTTGCCGTCACCCTGTGCGGACTGGGCCGGTTAATCCTCTGGTTCTGGATGTGCTGAGAGGGCAGCTGTTAGCTGTTTGCTCGGGACCTTCTCTCCTACCTGCCCACAGGAGGGCGGCGGGGCTGGGCGGGGCTGGGGGGGCAGTGGTTCCGATTCTGCCCGGTGTCCCTGTTGAAATCGGGGAGCTGACTGTTCTCATGGTTCTCATCTTTCTCGCAAAGGTTTCTCGTAGGGGACACTAGCTCCATTTGGCTGGAGGAAGCGCGCCTGCCTGGGCCTAGGCCCAGCAGTCCTCTTCCCACAAAGCCATGGATGTGAGGTCCACACAGCAGGGCCTCTGCCCCACCCCGTCCATGGCTGCAGTGGGGCCATTGGGAAGTGGGGCCTAGGAGCCCTGAGACCTGGCCCCAGGCCTCCCCTCGGGGCCCTGGCTCCTCACATCTCTGCAGCCCACTAAGATCTGGGGTCCTACTGCCTCGTAACAGGTGCTCCTAGAACCAGGCCCCAACACCAGGTGCTGTCCTGCACCGCTGTGCCCACTCCCTGGCAGGGGTCACTATTCTTACACCCACCTTACAGGTGAGAACGAGGCTCAGCAGTGACGGGGCCCCTTGGGGGCTGTCTCAGGTGCTAAGGCAGTGGGGAACACAATAGGCCCCACCCCTCACAGACCCTCATGCCAGCCACAGAAGGAAAGGTGTTCAGATCGCACCCTGTGACCAGGTCTCTGCCCCTGGGCTGGTCTGGAGTTCGTGTGCACGACGAGGGGCAGGGGCCCCCAGGGGACACAGACCCAAGCAGCGGCAGCCCTAGTGGCCGAGGAGCATCTGGGGACACTGGCAGGGCCATCTGTGAGGGAGAGAGGGCTCAGCCCTGGGATGCTGGCCAGCAGGAACTGGAAATAGCCACCCTGTTCTAGCAGTGTCAGCGCCCCCCACAACCTGACCCTGAGCCTGCAGAGTTGACACGCTCATTACCCCACGTTGTGCAACTTACAGCTGCACTTCCGGGTTTTGAGTGACGTGGCCATCTGTCCTTGACAACCTGGGCTCTGTCACACGGCTCCTG